CCCCAAAACCCCAAAACCCCAAAACCCCAAAACCCCAAAACCCCAAAACCCCAAAACCCCAAAACCCCAAGGTGAGTCAAAGAGATTGAATCTAACAAATAATTATTTTATATTTAAACCTAAATATTTGTTCTTTGTTATTCAGTTGGCAATTTAAAGGTAAATTTGTTCAAAGAAATTTATGGTGATTCACTTCTAAACTCAGGAAAAGGAGGCAAGATGGTTTATGTGCATCCATACTAAATATTGTTCTATTCGTTTCTATTTGGGTTTTGGCTGATAGAAGGCCAAAAACAAATTTTTATTACAATATTTTAATTTGAAAGTCTTAGTTTGTTCAATAGCTTAGGTTTGAAACAAGGTTCCAGTTTTGTTTGACAAAATGATACCTTTAGAAATTGAATGAAGAAAAGAGGAAAAACTCTATCTGTTTCTTTCTAATCAATAGCTGTAGCAAAGATAAATTGGCGATCAAGAACTACGAGTAATTATTAATCTCCCTTTTCTGAGGATTCTTCTGAGGATTCTTCTGAGGCAGCTTGCTCTTCATCTGATTCTTCTGAATTAGAAAGGGAGTTTCCTTCATAGCTGTAATCACTCGACTCTTCGTCATCATGAATGATGTTCACATCAGACATATTTTCCTTTGCAAAATACTTGTTGATTAAATGCAGATCAAATTGGTTGAATATTGATGTGAATTTAGTGAGTGAGTCCTTTAAACTTGAATTCGCAATTGCTGATACTATCGAGCTAAACTCTTCTTCATTATCGGCCCAACCGCTTAGCTTAGAAGTCCCAGTATTAGAAAACTTAAGGTGCTGAGTTTTGAAATTAGCTTTGTTATCAAATTGGGATCCAACAGATGTGATATTGCATTCATCAAACTCAATTTCTTTTGTTTGAGAGAAGGAATTGATAGTTTTCTCGAAGGATTCTTTTGATATAAAGAATTTATGGAAAGCAACTGAGTTGGAGACATGAGAACCTATGTTCTCAATTTCTCCAATAAACGAATTTAATCTGATATGGTCAACTTGAGGGGATACTCCCATTATAAATTTCTTTACACTGTTTGGAAAATGGTTGTTCATGAATTCTATATTTATATTAACAATCAAAAAGTTTGGAATGGTTTAACTCAACCAAAGCTAGAAGGAGCAGATATTATTTTCCAGAATACATCTTTCTGGAAATAATCATCTCTAAAATACTTTGTCAAAGAATAAAAGGCGATTCTTACTCTTGATTTTTTGTTTATTATCTGGCTTGATCCCTTCAAGCCAAAGCTCATTGATATCAGGGAGTGCATATTCCGAGTATTCTTCTAAACATTATCGTTAGTTTGAAACAATTAAACTCGGAATGCAAAGGGGAGTATCAGTGATTGCATAATAGCTTAAACATTCTTACTGTTAGTTAAGAATTCATCAATAAACTTCATGTCATCGATATTGTTCATACGAAGGTCGAGCTTTTTCTTTAATTTAAAATGAGTCTGCTGATTATTGTTCAAATGCTTTTCGATCAGAGTTGATAGTGTCTATATAGTAAGTAGGAGTATTTTATTTCAAATACTGCAAATCTATCATACAATAAATTTCAAAACATAAAATGTTTTGGCTCAATAATTTGTCTTTTGAAGAAATCAGGAGGAAAATAGTTAAAATTTTAAATCCGAGGTAGTTTTTGATTTTTGATTTGAAAATCCAAAATCTACTTAAATTATAAATATAGTGATTCAACTGAATTTAAGCAGTTTCAATATTTTTGTAAAAACTTATATGAGATTAGTTATAACAATAACATGTTAATAAGAGGTAACATTAAAAATAATTTGCTCCATAAAAGCAAAACTTGATTCGTTTTAAAGTATACTAAGGAGTAGTTATTTTCACTCTCTAATATTGCCTTGTTCTCTGATATTGACAAAGTTCCTAAATTTTCTACTGTATCATAACTTCTAAATATAGAATTATTTTAATCAAAATATTCGATATCCTTCTTGGGATGGGTTGATATATTAACAACAAATACCTAATCTATTTTTCGCCAAGAAGTTCACCTACTTGTCCAAGATTAATTTTTCTAAAAATCAAAACTCCTAATTTCTTCTTCTTAAATGCTTGGACAGTTTTGGTAGTTGAAAGACCAAAAATTACTAACTACAATTTTGAATCTTTGCTCCCAGAGAATAAGTTTCATTAATAAGACTTTACAGTAGTAGTTTAGGTGAGCAGCCTTTGCCTTGATCGTAGACAAAAATTGAAGCATCATGCTTCTGGTTCTACAGACTACATGATATTGTAACCTATTCTATCAGTCAAGATAGCTAATTTTTTCATGATATCGTTTTTAGTTCTTTGGTTTATAAGAGCCAAAGCTCGAAATAATTTGTTTTAACAGATTATCTATTGCCATATTTAATAACATTTCAGACATAAAGGAGTGGCATTTACGCATGAGAGAGTGATGTCTTAGCCAGTTAAGAAAAAAATGATTGAATAATGTCAAACGAGTGCATACATCTAGGTCCATAGCCTCCTTCTTTATAGGAGCTTGATTATCTACAGCTTCAGAAGCAGGTCCTTGGTTTCCTTTCTTTTGGTTTGCAGGTTTCTTGTCCATATGTTGTGCTTTGCTGTTATTTTGCTTTTTCTATACACCAAATTATTTTAAGTAAAAAGCGGACTAAAAGTATAATTTTAAAGTTTAGCTGGTGACACATCAATAATTCCTTTTGAGGCTTTAGTTGTCATTTTGACTGACTTATTGTGTCAGAGACATTTTAACCACAAATTGTCAAGATTTTGGTTAGGAGCTTTGCAAAGCAATTAAATTACTCTATTGTAGTAAGTACTTATATATTTTATTAAGATTTCAGAACAAGCAGCTACTGAGTGAGTTAATAAATACAGAAGCAGATGGCGAATTAAAATTTTCTGTGTATGCTTTCTCATAGTTTTATTTATTGCTGCAGAAGAGTGATAGCAGAAGGATGTAGAGAAAGTTGGTTAAAATAAAGAATGATAAGAGCAATTTGTTAATTGAGAATCATTAAATCAGTAAAAGAATTATGATGAATCAGATTAACTTGAATAGAAGAATAAACTAGAAAACATAACAAAGAGCTTTGCAAGTGATGTTTTAGCTGCATTTAAAGTAAATCAGCTACTTAAATTGCTCATTTATCTCATTCGTTAAGTTTTCTTTAACCATTTGGGTGTCCATCTTAAGCTTCATTTAAACAAGATGATAATTATTAATTAAAATCCTTCTCTTGTTATGCAATCTTACTATTCTAAATCGTCTTGTTGGAATCTAATTGAATTCGAAAATATTCTAATTGCATCTTAATTTATGATATCGAGAGAGAAATCAGTATCTGACTCATTTAAAATGCAGATTGGTCAAGAAATAGTCTTGATGATAATTACTATGAAAGCATTTGGTGGCTAGTTTGTTTTCGAACAGCTGGCTTTATCCTGAAAATGCTAATTTTTTGCTTTTAGTCAAGAATTAGCCATAAATAGAAAGAAAGATATGAGTTGTTCTTTAGAAAACAAGAAAATTTTATCAGAGAGTGTTCAGAATTGATTAGGTGAATATAGAAAAGGAGCTAATGACAAAATAGAAGAAGTTGGTGGTATCAAATCTCTTAGTAGTAATTTATTTTGAATAAACAAAGAAATAAAAGTGATAGAACCCAAAATCTAATAGTATTTGAATTATTAAAACCCTTTGTTCTGGGATATTAATTGATCAAGCTAAATATTAGCCCTATCTAGTCATACTTTGTACAAGTTGTGAGTTGGGAATCAATTTTTATAACTTAACCAAACAATTGTCACCAATAGTAATGAATGGAATGCAATAGGATAAATTTAAACTTATATAGTATGACTTGAACTCTAGAGGGTGTAGAAGGTTGGGTCTAACTTTCTTTTATTTGATATTATCAACTTAATTATTAAAATTTGCCCTTATCTTTACTAATTCTTCTCTCCATGTTCCTTTATTCACAAATATTTTTAAGGTATACTTATTCTCATATCTCAACAAAACTTGAATACTATCATGCTACCTCTCAAATAATAGAGGTCTTGGTAACAGTTATAAAGACATTTCTGTATATTAATTTTCATCTCAAACCATCGCTAATAATTCGGAATCATTGAATTGACTGACAAGCTTAGGCAGAATCGAAGGAGTTATGAAAGAATAGGTTAAATAAGAGCAGAGAAGGCTTACAAAATTGAAGGAGAGCCAGAAATGAATAATGCTTATAATTAACTAATGTAGTGACTTAATATTCTCTACATTAATCAATAGTAATTGGGATGTTAATTTAAAAATTTGAATATCTGTAAATTTATAAGAAACTTCATGAGAGAGATATTGATTTATGATAAATATTGACTCAAAAATATATTTGAAATCCTTTTAGACAACTAAGATAAACTAATAATAAAAGACTTTGCATAGCTTTTACTCAAATTATCAAATTAGGCAATGAGGACGTTACTTTATTTTGCTTAACATTGCTCTTCGATGCATTACACCCCATCTTGCTGGTTTTAATATTATTAATATAAAATTCAAATATTTTTTTAATAAAAGGGGTTTTGGGGTTTTGGGGTTTTGGGGG